TCAAGTCTGATCTTTATTAATTTTGAAGAGTACTGCAACTTTTTGCTTCCTGTGGAAACAAAGGCATACCCTCTCCCCCAACACAACATATTTTCTGATTTCCATTTTGAAGCTAAAACATTCACAAAATATATAGATTAAGCCAAACTTGGTGGCACATGCCTTTAATCCCAGAACTGGGAAGGCAGAGGAAGGCAGATCTCTATGAGTCCAAGGCCAGCCTGGTCTACAGAGAAAGTTCCAAGCCAAGCTCCAAACCCTGTCTCAAAATATATATATACATATATATATACATACACATATATATCCTTATTTTAGACGTTTCCTTAATCTAATGCCTCCCAGTAGTTACTGTATTTAGCATTAAAAAAATTCAAAGTTAACCAAACTCCACATGAGATCCAGACATCCTGCGTATTTCCCATCTGCACATGACTTATTCTTTCTATGTTATTTTATTTTTTAAAGCTTTTACTTATTATTTTAAAACTATTTATGAATTTCCCTACCCATTTTTTCTTTATTTAGCATCTAAGCACATTTTTAAATATACTGTGCCTTTTTAGAGGTTTTCTGTGTCTGGACTTGCCAAGCAATGGCAATGGCGTGCCTGAGAGACTGCAGGACTGGGAAGTCATATCTGGCTCCTTGGTGATAATTGTCCTTAGCTTTCTAAGGCCATATTTTTGGATTGAGCCCCACATTGGGCAGCATATATACCTGGATTTTTCTTTGGGTTGACAGCTCACAAAACAAAAACAACCAAACAAAAACCAGGAGACTTCTTATTAATTGCAGAAGTTTGATCTTTAGTTTAGACTTGTCTCCTAGCTCTTATAACTTAAATTAACCCATTTATATTAATCTAATTCTATCACATGGCATTTGAATCTTCCATATTGCACATTCTATTTCTTCCCCCATGTCTCCTGGCTTCTCCTGTGTGCCTAGGTTTATCCTCCCCTTCCTTTTTCTCCATGAACATCCTGCCTATACCTCCTGCCAGGCTATTGGCCATTCGACATTTTATTATACCAATCACAGTAATATATCTTCACATAGTGTTCAAATATCCTACAACAGTCATTTCTATGAACGAGTTGTGAGGTAACAGCATTCAGCAATGTAAGACAAGAGACTAAAAGGAACACAGAACCTTCTTAGAGATGAGACACAATCAAAAGGCTGTGGGGCACCTTGGTTGCAAAATTCAAAGAGACCATGTGGGAAACGAGATGGAAGCTTCCTTCATAATACCCAAAGTTGCTAGGTGGGCTTCTGCAGAAGAAAAGTCAGAAGTCTTTCCCACTTTTGAACATTGAAATCTGTGATAACGTCTTGTCAGGCAAGAGGTGCTTGCTGATGCAGTTGTGGCAAAAATGTTAAGGGACTAACCACTTATTTCTGGTTATTCTGAGTCTCACACCGTAAGAATGAGTTGATGCCTAATGATGTGAACCTGGTCGAAGGCTGATGGCTGGGAAGGCCATGGGCACCATTAGTAAATTGACTACTTTTGTTTTTCCTCAGCAGATATGCTACAAAACTGTCTCCACAATATTGGTATTAACAACTATAGACTGGTGCAGTCTTCAAAGAAGTTTCCATTTGCAGTTAATCAATATAGAGAATGAGAGTCAAATTATGGAGAACATGTGAGTGTTCGGCCACACATGGGACACCCACATTTCCCCTCTAAGAAGTAGAGAACATAGCAGTAGATGGATTGGAAAGAGCTAGATAATAGGGAGAAAAACTATGAGATGCTGTCTTTTGAACTTGACATGGACATGACACTTATGAACCCACAACAGCCTGCATAGGACTTGAACAAGACTCCACTCAGTTTCCACAGCCCTGCACAGCCTCTTTTCCAGTAGCAGATCTATGCTGATCCTGCCTTTTTTTTTTCTTTCCAAGGTAAATTGCTATACTCCTACCAATAATGGTTGCAAAGCCAACCTTGCTTCTTTTTATGTTTTTGCTTCTGGTTTTCCAATTTCTTTTGCTTGAAAGCCTTCCTCTTTAGTCATTGGGTGACCTCCTCTTTGTCCTTAGGGAGACAGCTGGAGGAATGTTCTGATGAGAAGACCATTCACTCTGGGTTTCTGCTTACTAACTAACATTGTCCTCCATGGCCTCATGGCATTGTGTGCTTCTTTCTGTCCCAACAGCTCAGGGATTTGAAAACCTAAACATTGATCACCCAGTTGACTGAATGTTCGCAGGTGATCTTACTCAGATGTATGGCCTTTGTTTCTAGACAAATTACTGGAAACAGAATAAATACTCAGATAAATCTACCGAAATGCATCCATAAGGTTATGTAGGCTTAGAAAAAAAAAAGGAAAAAAATGGCCTCATTCTAGAAATAAGAAAATAGTATATAGGACATAAATTGTATTCTGAGATTGTTGAGAAAGCTAAGTAAAACCATTAGGAAATAATAAAAGACCCGGTTTTGTCAGTTATTTTTCTCCACCCTGACTAATTTTTAATATATTCAGGTCACTAGGAGAAATTATTCAGAATTATCACAAGAGACATTTCATTTTTATGGAAAATGTTAGCGCAGAAATTTATATGCATAGCAAATAATATTTGTGCTGAGAAATCATATAATTTACACTGGGTTTTAGACCAATAACAATGAAATAGTACATTTTAGAATATTATTTAAAAAATAGATTCAGAGTACTTCCAAATGCAAGACATTGTTTTGAAAATATTAATTTAGAGAATTTAATGTGGCAACTTTAAAATCACAAATAATATTGTGTCTTGATATTGTATTGACACCATTTCCTTATGCACAGCAGAAAGATTTCAAAGGGAATGGTAAGCTGAGAAAATTGTAAAAGATGTCAGCAGGCATAAAGAAGAAGAAGGACTGAGATATTAATCATCTTTCTTGTGCTTAGAGAAATGGAAGGAGCATTGTAAGTAGGATGTTTAGGTGGAATTTTTATGGCATTGGAGTACCACAGACTTTAGTGAAAGTATCTGATAAAGCACAGAGAAGAGGAAATGGAATGTTCGTCTATTGGAGATAAATCTAGGCTTGTTTACAGCACAAGGCACACATTGGAATAAAGTCTTGAAGATGTTCTCATCTCTCCCCCACTGACAACTGTAACACACAGACATGATTAATCACATAAGACTTTTAAATGGAAAACAAAGTATAGACAGTTCAAATGCTGTGCAATGACAGCTAATGACAATGACTCAGAAATAGCAGATGGAGCACATTTGTAGATCATCAATAGCAAGGAATCTTCAGACACTAACAAGTATAAATCTAATCAAGGCTACAACATGCCTTCACATCTGAAATGAATAGTGTAGGAAATCAAGATTAAATATTAATAAGTCATAGGAAGATACTAGCCCTCAACAGGTACCAGATTTATATCAGTGGATTTGAATGAAGCCCATAAAAGGCCTGCTCCCCAGTTTCATGGATGCCAACAGTTCTGGAGGAATGGAAGATTCTTAGGATGATAACATTAGCATTTAAATGATCTTCTTAAAACTCTAACAAAATTAAATTTATACATGAATACATCATCATTTTATTAGTTCTTTGAGAAGTTTGTACTTATTTTGATAGTATTTACTCCCCTCTTCCAACTTTTGTAAGATCTACCCTACACTCCCTATATAGCCAACTTTATGTTCTTTTTATTTTTAACCAATCAAGACTAATTTGATATTTTTGGATGCAGGGTTTTTCACTGAGTGTGGGAGACTTACCAGAGGATACACTCTTAGTAGAAAAAAAAACCCAGCATCTAACAACTGCCAATAGGTCTTTGGCTAGGGTTGGTACTTTGTGTCCATCTCTCCTTTCCACGCTGGGATTTGTTCTGGCTTAGACTTGCACTGGTCTTGTGCATGCTGTCATAACCACTGGGTGTTCCTATGTGCAGCAGCCCTGTTGTGTCCACAAGACACTGATTCCTTGCAGTCATCCATTGCTTCTGACTCTTGCACTCTATCAGGCTCTTTTTCCTCAAATGATCCCTGGGCTGTGGGAGGAGGAGTTGTGGTATAATGTATTCCTTTTAAGGCTAACCATCTTACAGTCTCCTATTCTCTGCACCTTGGCCAGTTCTGGGTCTCTGCGTAATCGTCTACTGCAAACAGAAGCTTCTCTGATGAGGGTTGAGAGATACATTAATCTATTACTATAATAACTCATTAGGAGTCAGTTTAATACTACTTCCATTTAGCAGAGTAATAGCAGGTTCTGCTGTTTTGTTATAATTGTCCTTGAAAGTGCAAATCCCTATTAAATACAACCTTCAATTAAAAATGATCCTCTCCTCACTTTTGATAAGGAGTGGCAGGCAGTGCCTTAGCAGTCCAGCCACTGCCAAATTGGCACATGATAAACACTGCGATGTTATATTAAATATTAAAATATTTGGATGAAATGACTTTTGCACGGCCTGTTTGATACTAGAGGGGCTCATGATTACTTTTATATTTGCACTACAAAGACAAGTGGAGCAACGGATCCTGTGTTTACCATGTGTTGACCTTCCAGTCATGTCCACAGGCTTATGCATGCCAGTCTATATTATAGAAATTGCATGTAAAACGCGGGGTCAGGGGGGAAGGAACAGAAAAAAAAGGCATTGAATCCACAAAGAAGCAGGCTAAGGTATTTCTCTTTACTCTCCAGCCCCGTTCACTCTTTCCTTCTTCGGTTTCATCAGTCTGTCCCTCAGCCCTGAGGAATGCTATGGGGTGCAGACTCACTGCTGGAATGAGGAGCGATTGAGTAGGATCTAAGGTCAAGGTAAATCTCTGCTCCCAGGCATTGCTGCAGCCTCCCCTTCCCTTTCCCTAGCTCCTCAGTAGCTTCTCCTGGTGCAAATCCCCTGCAAAGACACCGAAGCAGCCGCCGAAGTTGCCGGGCACAGGGCTCCGGAGGCATTGGCTCAGGAACTTTTCACGTCATTCCCGGCTCCGGAGCCCCTAGTCGCGGCGGCGCAGCCTTTCCCACCGCGGATCCCCGGTGCTCATGGGGCAGGCAGAGACAAGCTTGCAGCACTGAGCCCAACAGGACCAGTCCGTGATGTCCAGCACCAAATTTGAGGATTCCCTTCCTCGTCGCAACTGGTCATCTGCTTCAGAGCTGAATGAAACTCAAGAACCGTTTTTAAACCCCACAGACTATGACGACGAGGAATTCCTGCGGTACCTGTGGAGGGAATACCTACACCCGAAAGAATATGAGTGGGTCCTGATAGCAGGGTACATCATCGTGTTCGTTGTGGCTCTCATCGGGAATGTCCTGGGTGAGTCTGGTCGCGGGCAACCCTCCAGAAGGGCTGTCACCTCCGCTCTGCCCAGGCTGCAAAGCTGGGAGACCCCTCCCTTCTCCTGGGGTGCAAACAAAGAGGTCGCTGCTCCTGGGTGAGGTTTCTAATTTGGGGGGGGGGTAAGTTTTCTGATTTTACAAACTAGGAATGCTCTCCAGCATGATTTTTGTGTTTGTCTGCAGAGAAAAGAGAGAAACTGTTTCTGTTTGAAAACCTAGATAAGCACTAGGAGAGGGACAAGGACCTCCAGGTGGATTCTCTGAGTGTAGGGGATTCTATAAGGCTTTTGTGCATGTTGGGTGGGTTTACTGGGGAGGGCTTGAATGCGGAAAAGAAAAAAATCTGATGGAGTCATAAGGCCTCCGTGAGCTCAGTACCATCCATTTAGCAAGGAGGCTTAGGCGCGGGTCAAGAAGGGTGATGAACCTGCAGAGTGGAGACAGAGGCAGGCAGAGGAGTGCGCTCAATCACAGAAGCGGGATTAAACAGAAGCTGTGTCTGGAGCAGCAGGAGGAAGGAGGAGCATCCAAGAAAAGTGCTCCGGAGCTAGTCCTCATTACCCATTCATTCATTCATTCATTCATTCATTCATTCATTCATCCATCCATCCATCCAACCGTCCAACCAACCAATACGTATTCACCCCAATGAGTGGTTGTTACCAGTTTCAGAAACATATTTGTACCAACTGATTCCTTTTTCTTACAATGAGACTAAACTTAATGTCAGAGTATGTGTTGGTCTGTGTAAACACAGGTTTCCTTCCTCGCTCATTACTGTTCTCCCCACCACAATTTCTGATGTATAAAGTGATGGGTAAGGAAACTATGGGGGCTGTGATGGCAGATTCATTAGGACAGGAGGGGATCTCGTTCAAGAAAAGGAGCTTCCTTCGGGAGGCAGCTACGACTTAAATTGTGAATGGAAGGAGTATGTACCTTGATGAATGGAGACCAGGAGGCTTTTCAAATGCAGAGGGCAGTGTGGAGGAAATCTGGTGAAAATGACAGGAGAAGGCAGGCAGCCTGGAGATGGTGCTGTCTCCCCAATAAAAAGGGGGAGAGCTGAGTGACATGAACCGGGCTGGGAAGCTGGGAAGTAAAAAACAAAGATTGTAGCTGCAATGAAGGACAGTGAGGAGCTCACCAGGCTTTCAACACTACCCCAGCGTTGCCTTCTCTTCCAGCTCGCAGTGTAGATAAGCCCACAGTATGTGACTGAGAGGGGCTCTTTAGAGAGAATGTTAGTCATGAGACAAGAAATCCTTGAAAACTTTAGCCTGCTCTTTATCATTTTAGGATGCTTTCCTCTTTTGATTTTTTTTTTTACGATTAAAATTAAAGACCATCTTCTTAGTCTACAATGAAAGTGAATGGACATGTGATTCAGCCTCTCGTTATAAGGATAAGTCTTTTAATGGTTGTGTCTCTTTGGGTTCCCACATTGTCATCTTCAAATTCAACGATAAACAGCACTATGAGCATAACAGAAAGTCTGCATGTGGCCCATACTTACTGCTAAGTGAATGATCAAAATTGAACATGCATTGAATATCTACTTTTGCAAGAGCATTTGACATATACTCTATTGCTTAAATCATAAAATAAACCACACTAGAAGATAAAGCAATGATGGCTCATTAGAGGACATGATTCAGATTCAGCCCCATCTGTTCTGACCTCAGATCCAGAGTTCTCAATTGTAATTCTACTCTAGAGCTAGAAAGCATGTAGAGAATAGATTCTCTGTTCTGGGTTGTGTGCAAAGAGTCTATTGGATGGGCTTCCTTTTCCCCTCTATACCCATGTTCACTGCCAGTAAAGTTCCACTACCACTCACTTCACAAAAAGACAACAACAACAACAACAACAACAAAACAAACCCTACCTAGGAAGGGATGTTATTGCTCTTAAATTCAAGAAAAAATAAATTTTGAAAAAAAAAGCAGGAATAGCTATAAACCATCACCATTTTCCTTCCCCAATTTTATTTCAGGCTTATTATTTGTGATGAATGTGCTCTTCTTTGATGTATTTCAGTTTGCTTTGAATAGATTCTATAGATTCTATGATGCGTTTCATGGCCTGATTGCATATATATATGAGAAGAGTGACACATCTACACTGAAGTTACTTCATAATGTCAGTTAAGACAGCACTGTCCACAGCCTCAAGTCTTTAAATACCCAGTTCCATTCAGCTTAAAAGAAAGATTTACCCAAAAAACTCTAGTCTCTAACACTGACAGCTATTTCCCTTGGGACTGACATACACCTGAATAACACTGAGATCTTCTCTGGATAAACTGAAGCTCATGTTTTACTGACATATTCCCTGAAAGATGGTGAGGTTTGGGTTTGACATTTAAACAAATGAACACCTCCATTACTTACTGACTTCTTGATCTTTGATGTCACTGTCAAATCTGCAAAATGCATTAGAAGAATTACCTTCATGCTCCATGGTACAAATAGCTCTATTTGGAGTATCAGGAGAAGTGACACTACTCAGGTAAAAAGAGATGACATGTGTATGAAGGAGACATAGCACAGTACAAGCAGCAGATGTAATTATTGACCCTCAGGTCCATACAACATGTGCACTTTCATGTAACTGATTGCTTGGAAAATATCAACCTTGTTGAACTTACAAGTGCAAGCCATTAGCTAGAAGTCCTTTCTTTGACAATGCTCTTTTGTAAAGTGATGCAGCAGAATATTGCCTAAGCCTAATAGCAAAGTCTTGATCACTCAGCCTCTTCTTTTTCCTCCTGACAATCTCTAACCATCATTATGTCCCCACTTCATTATAAGGATGCTCCTTGCAGAGATAGAAAGCAGTTTCCTGGAAACAAATGACAAAGTCATTCACAAAAGGTACAATTACTGTAAATGGGAGTTGATGAGTGTTTGTGTTCTAGCAGAAAGTCATATGCATGTCTAATTATGGAACTTTAAGTCCTAGGAAGCAGTAGGTGGTAAGGTTCTATATCTTATAACTAAGTCCACTCATCTATTTATTTAACTGATATATTTTGAGCAATATTTTACTTATGAAATTGATGTAAGAAGGAAAATGCTTCGGAACACTTAAAATAAATAAATTAGACGTAATCTTTAGTCATTATTCCTTGAGAAGAAACTGGAGGAAAGATGTTTCTACTCAAATGTTAAATGCCCAGGAAAACTTTCAATTCTCTGCCTCTCTTCCTCCATGTTCAATGATATTGTTTCACCTGGGAAATTTCAAACTTCCCTATCATTTACTCAGTACAGAAAGAAGAAACCATTCAAATAATGGACATTCCCCTAGTTATGCTTCCTGATGTCTGTGTGTCCGCTACCAAATTCTGAACTCTCCAACTCCCTCCTCTTGTAATTACAAACAAGCTGATAATAGTTGTTTTTTAAAAGGCATATCACAACTAATATATAGATAATCTCCCCTGATATAGAGAGGAATATGCAGACATATTTTCCTTGAAATATTAAATACGGATTAATGTCATTTTTTCCCTCATTGCATCTTTACTTCCACTAGCAAGTGCTCCGTGTTGAAGTTTGTAAGCATCTTCTGCTGCCCTAGCCTTTCTTGATCAGTGTGTCACTTTCAGACTTCCTCTCTCACCCCTTTCTTCAACAGACTGTTTCTCTAAAAGAAATGAGTAAAATGGCATTGGCCACAATACACTCCCTTTCTGTATCAGATCAATATACCCATTTCCTTGGTATTGTCTGCTTAATAGTGCCTATCTGTCTTTCCATGAAAGTCCTACCTAATTTTTTGTCACAGATCATACTTGTTTGCAGTATGTCTTTTTTGTTTGTTAGTTTATTGTAAGTGCTATCAGTAATTTGGTCTATCATTAATAATCTTCTAGATAACTATTTATAGTATGTTGATTCACTAAGGTTAACTACATTGCCACTCAAGGATTTAACTAATAAGAATTAACACAAGTTCTTTTCATGAGGTGGTAGGTATATATGCAATGTAGTTGCTTTCTAGAGTTAAGTTTTATGTCCTAGAAGTGGTACTGGCAAAGCTACAAGTCTATTCCCAGCCTCCTTTGCAGTTAGATTGATACAGTGTGATGATATTAGATGACACCCAATAATCATGAGTATGTTTGTCACATTATATTTCGAGAATCAGGATATTGTTTTTCCTAGTTCACTTTTGTCCTGCCATGGAAACTTTAAGATATACACATCAACTTACCTAAAAATCAAAAATAGGAAGATAACGCCAAATAACTAAATAAGAAATCTGTAAGGATGCTTAATCTAAAAATCAAACACAATGTCTCAGGATTCTGAGGTTTTTTTCATGATTTTAGTAGGAGATCATAACTAATGTAATTAAAGTATTTTCATCATCCAGCATCTTAGTTATGCTTGAAATTTTCCTATGCTATCATTCTAGCTCATTTAGTTCTCGCTGGCCTCTTCACATTCAAAATCACCCACTGTGGATGCTGCTTCTCTAATGAAAGAGTATTTCTCTGTTCCTTAATTCAGCATCCCAGAGTTCCTTGCTTCGCTAGGGACACTATCTTTGATCAGTAATGACTCACTGGGATGGGTCAGTCAGTAACATGTGACACATAAGGTTAGTGAGCTTTATCTCCCATTCCTTTACTCACTGTAAAGGAAAATGAAGACCATTTGTTTAATACTGTGAGTAAAACCCACGTGCTAGGCTCCATTCACATGTTTCAACGCCACCATACAATCAAATTAAAATGCAGAAATCAATAAGTGTTTTTAACAAATGAGGGGGAGGATCTGCAATTTTAACCAATCTGAAAGTTCAGTTACATAGCAAGTGGCAGCTCTAAGTCTCAAATATGGATTTGTCAGAACCCTTGCTTCATCGTCTAGTGCTTCACAGGTCCTCTTTGTCATCCAGGCTTGACAGGGGAAGCTCGGGTGAAGGAAGGGAACGGACAATGGCCCCGTGCCCTCTAGAGAGCTT